AAGACACATCCACAGTTTTTGAGCATTGCCATGAAACACAGGTGATTAGTGGGGATTATGAGCCTATTCCAGTGTACCGGTGATTGTCATCTGCATCTCACTTTCATCCGTTCTGCTAAGTTGGTCGAACGGTGCTACGAAAAACAAGCCATGGCCAAACACTGAGTTCAGATAGTATGCCGTTGATTAGGACCGAAACAGTGAACTAACACGCAAAAGACTGCATTTATTTGCATAAAGGCTTTGAGACAGCAGCAATGGTGGACAGGAAACACTACTAATCTCAGGTATAAAATGCATTGACAGTCCGAATGAACTAACATGCCAGTTCGGAGAGAGAAAAAATGACCTGGAAATCGCAACCAATGATCAGTCAAAAGTACATAAGTGCTTGCAAAGAGAAATTGGGTGTTGTCCACCCGAAAACATTGCACTACTATGACGCGTTGCGATTTATTACATCTCATCAGACGGAGTTTGCATAGAACGTTTTTACTCCAAGGCAAGCAGGTCAACAGGCTGCACTCGCAAGCAAGTAGAACACTTTGGCTACTGACGTGTGTTGCGTGCACGAAACTAGGAACAATGATTTCTACGTGTTTGTTGAGCTAATTACACCCGGACTGTCCTCTGGTCATTGGTTAGACGCATCTGGAAGCAGTGATACGGCAACCACTGGTCAAACTGAGGTGAGCACCGTTCTCAGCTCTAACGCTGTCGTCGCTAGTTAATTAAAAATAAATAAGTAAATCGCCAGCTGTACGCCGTAATGGCGCTTCGCTGCCACGCGATTACCACCAGTCGCGCGAGGGCTGAGTATACCGCGAGGACGTCGACCCCCACGCGGATTCGAACCCTATGGTTGCAAACCAAGCGCGCAGATCATTCAGTCCCTGATCGACCGCTAGTCAATTGGATTACCATGAGCAGCTCTTTCTGTGCAATCTGTTTGAGGAGATCAAATAAAGTTGGTACATGAAGTAGCATTGGAGGTTTGTTCTTTGTGGCTGCTGCTAATGACCCCACCGACTGCAGTTCGGAAGCTGCTAAGGAACATTTTTACCTCGAACGGAACACGCCACTTCGCAGTGTAACCGCTTCTGATATGATTGTTCGTTCAAGGAATATATATAGATAAGAAGACTGTTGGAGGTCCTCAGAAACCGAACTAGGTGAAACAGGCTTAACTCCGACCGGACTGACAAAGGCAAACATCTGTTGCAACTGTGCGCGCGGCACCGGCTTTCTTGACAGCCTTAGCTTTAGGTACACTGAGAGCCGAAGTACCACTAAGTGTCACCTTATAGCTGGCCATCAACGAACCCAAACCAATTACGTGACAGGTTGTGTGGTTTCATCCCTGATTGTCGTTCGTTTTCGAATACGTGCGTCGAACACAATCATGCTTTGGTACACTCTCGCAGTTTCATGAACTTTATCCGGAGGAGTAGCAAGCACCTTCCTCGATTGGCAACCGAGAGCTTTTCCGAGCACATCGGCCAGGCAAGCTCATCCTCATCAGCATCAGTACACATTAGCTGAGGGCAAGAAAGACATTTCAACTATAGTGCAGCAATATAAAAAGACAATTTATACGAAAAAGCGAGATACTAAACATTGTAGAATACGAAAATCAGGTAACATACTACTTAGTAACACACTATGTTTCAAGACAGAGATCGTGGTTAGAGGGGAAGATAATCGAGATGGAGGGACATAAAGATAACACAAACGCCACTGAGATCAGATCCTATCCATGTCAAACTAGTGTATCCAACCAATCATGTTCAACACCCCTCGGTCCCTAGCCCAGTAGTCGGGAGACACCAACCGAGGACAAGTTTAAAGTGAGGGCATTCATTCCTCTTGACTAAGGCATCGCTTGGTCTCCCGTCCTCCTCTCTCATCCACCCCCGCGCGCAAACAACATATGACGCGGAAGTCGATGGGCTGGCATGCACAACACATGGCCTAGTCATCCGAGCCTGGTGCGCGAAATAATGATGCACAGCGGTTCACTCGCTCTGCTTGCACCAAATACGAGGCGTCGAACAAGCTAAGCTGCGAAGGCACCGGTGATCGAACGTAGCTAGCCTCTTTGTATCTGTCGACCTGATGGGCCAGGTCTCACAACCGTACAGGAGGGTTGAATGGACGGCTGTATTATAAACTCAGCGCTTCAGGGTGAAAGTGAAGTCGCGCTGACTGGACTGGAGCGACACCCTGCGATTGCGTGTGAGTCGAAACTAGAAGACAACCGACAATTGAAGCAATAGGAGGGTCAAGAATTGGAGGGCTGAAAACAGGCGGATAACAGTGAAGGGAACGATAAAGATGAGTGGGTGTGCGCAAGAGGGGGAATGAGAAGACAATATGACCTCAGCCGTAGCATCCTAACCCCTATCCAATCTGCTCGGTACAGTGGATAGGGCACCGTTGATTATCTTCTGCGACTGCCAGAGCATTGAGAAATCGTTGGAAGAGAAATTAATTGTGTTGCGTAGACAGGATACTGCCAGATTGCCCAGGTCTAGACAGGAGAACGATTGGTGTTCTGAACCGAAGCCTTTGGTTCAAAAACCTGACCGCGAGGCAGCGGGATTTTTACAGTGGACTGTAGAATCCGTCTTATGGAGTAAGAAACCACTGTCACTCCAACCCCCAACCCAGAGGGTCAGGAGATTGAGTTTGTCAAGTCTCTAACCATTGACCAGTCTAGTATGAGTGGCTCCGAAAGTGTAAGAAGTGCCACTCAGCATAGCTCAATGGATCGCTGAGGCCCACAAGCCATCGCACTACGTTAAGGTCCAGTCTCGTCGCGACAGACAAGCCCACCGAATTTTCATCCTCTCCCCCCCCCCCCCCCGCAAAGGGCATCGAGCTTCAGTGGGGTAGAATTTGAGCGGTCATGCACGACGCTAAATACTCTGCTTGTGGCACTAGCATTCATCACCACACCAGTCACGGAATATCCGATAGGTCAGTTCACCCCTTTAGAATCCAGAAGAAAACTACCTGCTAGTTATAAGCACAACGCAGCCAGATGAACTATTGGGCGCAAAAGAAAGCGGAGCCTGCGTACAGACAAGGGAGCCTGGTGGGTTAGTAGGGCTCAAGAAGTGTACTAGGCGCGGGCAGTAAGCAAATATCGCAAGCTCTTCCTAGTGATAAGCAACGCTGGTCCCAGGAAAACAAGCATCAGTGAGACGATCAGAGACAGGACAGGCGCTCTGATTCACAACAAAGAGCGCCGGGTAGTTTGCTAGGCGGAGCGCTTTCGAGAGCTCGGGTATCTTCCTACTTAGATGGTACAGGCTCAGTCATGGCCGGAAGCTGAGCCCCGAAACGAGATCACAGTCCTTAATCGCTTTGAATCGCTTGTCCGGATCGCCATGAACCCGCGCTGTTTAACGATGGTGGTGAGGTCCTCTGCAAAACATGACTCATCTGTTCGAACAGGTCTGGAAAGAGAGTACTATAACTAACCGGAGTAAATCGATCATAGTGGCAATATACAAGAAGGGCAGTCGCACCGAATGTGCTAACCATAGGAGTACCAACCTAACGCCGGTATAAAAACTTACTAGACCCAATTGTGATTAGCCACCTCACTGCTTAACAAGAATCCTGGACTATGAAAAAACATGTCAGTTTCCGCCAAGGACCATATTTTAACCCTGCTGCAAGTGTTAGAACAGCGTCATACATAATGTAGACCGATGGTAACTGTGTTCCTCGACTTCAAGAGTGCGTACAGCTCGGTCGAACGATTCGTTCTGTTTGAAACGCTTGTGCCGAAAGGTGTTCCCAAGAAACGTGTGGACATTTTATGTGCCGTGTAATCGAACTTCACAGTCCACAGAGACTTCTTGGATCTTTCCAGCAAAGTGGTGTTCGTTATGGTTGTCCAATTTCTCCTTCTTGTTTCGCTTTGTTCAAGACTCCTCCATGGTGTGTTCCCTTGCGTAATATCACAATACAAGCGTTGGGATGCTGTCTCGTGGAAGACTAGTTGATACTGAATATGCGGACGATACTGTCTTGCTGTTTGACGTCGTTAGGTTGGCCCACTCAACCTTGAATAAGCTCTCTAGAGTGATCCCATCATCTGGCAGGCATTCCACACTTGCAAACTGCAAAGTGCTGTTGCAAGATACCCAGCTATTCGATGATCGGTTAAGCTTTGATAGCGAGGAACTTGAGGTAGTTGATTAATTCACCTACCTTGACATCATTAGCAGCAACGACGAATGCACCACCGCCGAAGCTAGTTCGTGATTTTCCTTAATGCTAGAACTACCTCCTTGAATTTGCGACATTTGTGGCGCCAGAAGGGGGTTTCCCTGAATCTGGAAGGCAGTGTTCACAAGGTTACAGGGTGGGACTTAGACCCTTCGGTTTGAGGGTTTGCAGCGCCCTTAGGTCTCTGGTTATCATTGCTTGCGCAGCACTGCTGGTGTCGGATGTCACTAACGTATCCGCAACGATGATATATGTAGGCCTTATCTTCGCACCAGGCACCTGTTTGTAACGGTGCGTTGTTGACTAGCTTCTGAATGTTCGCTTCGGGCATCTAGGTTTTACGCCAGGTCCCTCTTCTCCCCGTTAATTATCCATCATTCCCTAGGCTATTATAGCTGTGCGGCAGCGACGTTTCGGCTTGTAAAGCTGTGTACGGATGCTGCTGAAGATGATGATGCTTTACCGAAACCCTGGGATAAATGTGGTTGTGCATTAAACTCATAACGAAATAGCGACTACGGACAGCATAGTTCGTGCAATCAACGCAAAGTACAATTAAAGTAAACTAGGGATATAGCTTCGAAGCGTCAAGCCCAAAGAACGATGGTGAAATTCGTGATACAGGAGGCGAAATGAAAATGGAAAGTATTCGCATTAACGGACAAAAGATTAGGTGATGGTTAACTACCATCACCCATTTGCGTTTCGACTAGTTCTGAACAATTGTGAAAAGTATTGGTAAGGAGTAGATCACTTACCCTCAATAAAGTCATTTCAGAAGAACAGGACTTCGGATTTACGGAATTGTCTGCCTCGACTGGAGCACACGTACGGATCGGGTGCTTCAAATAATTCGGAATAAAGTCGGCAATAGTTGGGAGTTCTATGGGTAAAAATCACATAAAGAATTCAAAGGATTGACCACTCATATCTTTCGGTGTTTTACCGTCTAGTCTCGGCTGGTTGGGATCAGCACCAACGGAAAGCAAGTAGTTGATCACCGCCTCATGCTGACGAAGCATAGACCAATGCAGTGGAGTCATACCATTGACTTTGTTTGCATGATTCACATCCGCCTTCATAATCGATCAATGAGACCAAAGTACTTAAACTGAGACTCACTCCCATGTTCAAAAGTCTCATGACCTCATCCAGAAGTCCAAGGCAAGCGGCCTCATTGAGGCATTCGCCCAAATCATAAGGATTCTGAAAACACATGCAGCATACTAAATTGGCATAAAACTACATAACGGATGTATGCAACTAAAGATGGGAAAAGCATTTCTGCGTTGGTGGACGCCTTAACAAATGCAATCGATACCTCTATATGACAGGCTGAAGAAATCACAGGGTGGATTTGGAAGATCGATGTAACAGCAACACGTATCAGAAATGGCATACAGTAGGCAACTGGATACAATAAAAAAATAAAATAATCTGTCAGCTGTACGCCGTAACGGCGCTTCGCTTCCGCGCGACAACCATCAGTCGGGCCCGGGCTCAGTATATCACGAGGACGCACACCCCTATGCGGATTCGAATAGTGACCTGACGGTTGGAAACCAGATGGCAAACCATTTGGCCAGCGGCCACAAAAATGTAAAAAAGCCCGGAAAAGGCATTCAACTACCACTGCGGGGTGGATGAACCTAATGGAAAAGTCATCCCGCACACTTTTATGATGGTCTATCAGTACCCTTAGCCCGCGTGCGACAATTTGTGATCATATAGCAACGAAGCGTCGGTACGTACTGCTGACGCTTTTCTATTTCCTTCAGTCGCCTAATGTTAAAGGCGCATTCGCTCCCAGAAATGTTTTCAGAACATATTCCGTGAAACGAAATCAAAGAAAGAAGAATGAGACAAGTAGCAATGTTGATATTCGCGACACCGTGTTGATACACCAGTGCTGTCGTGATCATGCTCAGCGACACCGTGCTAACTGCGTCAAAGTGAATGGAGAGGCTAACAAATGACACAACTATATCGCTTGTGGCCGGAGATCTTCAGTGCAGCATATAAACACAAACGTGTTTTGTGACGACGGCATCCGAAGAGAACGAAGCACACCAAGTGAATAAATCACAAATGTCCAAGCAGTCATCATCATCATTATAGACGTTAGCTAGAGGTGGGAAACACCTCAGCTATTGTGCCGCAATACATAAATGAAAAAGGGAAATAAATACAACAGTTGCATGTCAGCTGAGCTACCAGCAACGGATGGGCATCGTTTCGGTAAGCTACCAGCCGGCTACTAGGCAAAAAGAAAAATCATTATGTAAAATTATATTACGCTACGAAATGTGATCGTGGCTGGAGGGGGAGGCTAAAAGGGATGGAGAGGGACAAGGAAACTCACAGCAGGAACACCACTGAGATCGGCTCATTGCCATGTCAGCAAGTGTACCTAGGCAAATGTGTTCATCGTCTTCTGGACCCCAACCAGGGAGCCGAGACGCTCCCATCGAGGCCAGCTCCGAAGTGAGGGCCTTCATTCCTGTGGACCAAGTCATCGCTTGGCCACCCCTCCTCTTCTTCCATCCACACCCCAGGTGAGCAAACAACGCACGTCGCGGAAGTCGGTGAGCTGGCATGCGCAACACGTGGCCCAGCCATCGGAGTCTGGTGCGTTAAATAACGGTGTTGAGCGGTTCAGCTCATTTTTCTGTGCCGTAAACAAGGCGTCCAACACGCTCGTTACTCACGCGGTGTTCTCACCAGATGTGAGCCAAACTGTGAAGGCGTCGATAGTCGAACGTAACTAGCCTCTTGATGTCCGCTGATCTTAGGGGGCAGGTTTCGCGACCGTAAAGTAAGGTCGAACGTACCGCTGCATTGTACATTCTACCCTTCAGGGCGAGAGTGATGTCGCGCCGCCGCCATAGGTGGCGAAGGTTAGCAAAATCACTTCGAGCTTTAGATATACGGTTCGTGATCTCATCTGCAATCCCACGGGCGCTGATACAACTTTCCAGGTAGTAAAATTTCTGAACGACTTTTAGCAGATCCCCACCAAGGATCAGCGAAGGAGGCGATCCCTGCCAATCTTAGAGGAAAGTTTTACACTTCGATGGTGCAAAGCAAAGCCCGAAGCGGCTGACAGTTAGTGCTAATTTATCCAGTGCTTGGCACGTCTGGGAGCTGTCGCAGATGAGGGCAACGTCATCTGCATACTCCAAGTCAAGGAGTCGTTCTCCTGAGAGTAGCTCCACACCTCCTAAATCATGTCCTGTAAATGAAATCTCCATGACTTCGTCAATAGCGAAGTTGAAGAGGAAAGGTGACAACGGGCATCCTTGCCTCACACCGCTGGAGGTATTAAAGGGCGACGACAGCTTGCCGTAAGCCCTCACTCTGCCTGAGCTAGGCGCGTATAATGCTCGGATAATATTTACATATTTCTCAGGGCACACCTTTCCTGAGTAGACAATTCCAAAGGACACATCAATCAACCGAATCGAAGGCACCTTTGATGTCGAGGAACACGACTACAGTGAGCCGCCAATATAGGTGACGGTGCTCCAACAACGGACGCAAAGTGAAGATGTGGTCGATGCAGTCACGGCCCCGACGAAACCCGGCTTGCTCCTCACGAATCTGGCTTTCACGAGTGCCAGTCAGTCTGTGAAGGATTATGGAGGCGAGTAATTTGGAAGCGAAGTATATCAGACTGATTCCTCTATGGTTGCCGCATTCCGATCGTGAGCCTCCCTTGAAAACTGGGACTAGGACGGAGCAGCTCCAGTCGGTTGGGACAGTGTCCTGCTCCGACAGTTTCACTAGTAATTTGTGTAAATCATCAACAAGAGAAGAGCCCCGAATTTGAAGGGGGCTGGATGAAGATCATCTGATCCCGCGACTTTGTTCAACTTCAACATTCCGATCGCACGTTCGACTTCTGAGCGAGAGGGCGGATTCAAAGGAACAGCCCATGGAGCAGGGCGATCACTGGCCGGCGAGAAATCTGTCAATTCCGGACGGTGATGATAATGATTATGTTCTCCAGTTCGGTTAGCATTCTGGTGGTGACACCAGGGAAACCAGGTGGAAGCATCTTGATGATGCAGAGCTTGAACCACTGGAGGTCATTCAGAATACGTTACCTGAGAAGAGCTTCGGTGGATTCAGCAACGTTACGGCATATAACGCCACTATCAGTAAAAGAATCACCTCGATGAGACGTAATCGCTTCACAAATCCTCGACTCGACTGCAATTTCGATTGGTTTGGCAAGTGACACTGCGAGTTTCTTCGCTAAAGGAGTTGGAGTAATTGAGGTACTGTGTGTTACGTTCAACTCTCTCATGAGTTTAGTCCTTTCAGGCGTTGCAGGTTTGGCAGAAGCTGACACGGCGCGTTTCTTCGCCAAAAGAACTGGGGTGATTGGAGTTGGAGCTTTGTGCTCTAACTCCAACGCCATTCGTGGGTTTAGTCCCCTTCAGGCATTGCGGGGGTCTTACAGACTTTGTTAGCCCCCTTCCTTTTGCTTTTAGTGGGCACAGGGGCTATAAGATCGGTCTCGCATTGGACAACGTACATTGCTTTCCACTGTCGCTTTAAATACTATTCACGAACTTTCCATTTTACCTTATAATGTACGGTGTGCTTTGCTAATTCATTCCTGTTGCTCTGCTCGTCCGATCCGGTCTTCTCTCTGTCCTGTGGGGGACCAGCGACTTCGGGTTTGATTGGGAATCAAGCGTCCATTCAGGCGAGGGACGAACACTTCAGCTGGCGGCGGGTTGAAGCCTAATCAAGATGTCCATATCGGCTGACGAGCTCAAAGTCATTCTGCTGCAGCAACAAGCACAATTTGAGGCCTTCCAACTCAGGCTGATCGAAACTCTTACGCGCCAACTCTCAATCCAGACCGGTTCACTGTCTACAACCGTCAAGCCGTCCGCAACGGTAGACGCCATCAATAACAACATAACCGAATTTTCGTGCGACCCTGATGCTGGCCTCACTTTTGAATCTTGGTTCAAACGTTTTGAATATGTGTTCCTTTTCCCCTTTCGCCAAGCCGCCCCCCCCTTCCCCGCCCGCCCCCCACCCCTGCCTCCCCTTCCCGCTCCACCCTTCCCCCCCCCTTCCTGCCCGGTCCCCACCCCCCCCCCCCCTTACCCGTGCCTGCCCCCGTGTTCCCCCGCCCCCGTTTAATTCCCCACATCCGCTCCCCTTTTTCCGTTCCCCGTTCTTCCTTCCTTCCGCCCCCCTCCCCTCCCTCCGCCTCCCCATTCCCCCCCCCCCCTCCCCCGCCTTCCCCCCCCCACGTTGTTTTCTCCCCCCCCGGCCACCCCCACACCACTCACCGCCCGTGTACACCAGATTGTACCACCGTCAGCATTACTTGAATTCAACATGTCACCCCCAGACACCCCTCCCCGTCCGGATGATACCGTACCCTGACACCCGCCCCTCCCTGCCCACCCCCACCCACACACCCCAGTTCCCACCCCCATGCAACCGACAAACAACAACCACACCGCACAAACTCACACATCCCCACCCCCCCCCCCCCCCCCCCCCCCCCCCCACCCCCCCCCCCCCCCCCCCCCCCCCCCCCCCCCCCCCCCCCCCCCCCCCCCCCCCACCCCCCCCCCCCCCCCCCCCCCCCCCCCCCCCCCCCCCCCCCCCCCACCCCCCCCCCCCCCCCCCCCCCCCCCCCCCCCCCCCCCCCCCCCCCCCCCCCCCCCCCCCCCCCCCCCCCCCCCCCCCCCCCCCCCCCCCCCCCCCCCCCCCCCCCCCCCCCCCACCCCCCCCCCCCCCCCCCCCCCCCCACCCCCCCCCCCCCCCCCCCCCCCCCCACCCCCCCCCCCCCCCACCCCCCCCCCCCCCCACCCCCCCCCCCCCCCCCCCCCCCCCCCCCCCCCCCCCCCCCCCCCCCCCCCCCCCCCCCCCCCCCACCCCCCCCCCCCCCCCCCCCCCCCCCCCCCCCCCCCCCCCCCCCCCCCCCCCCCCCCCCCCCCCTCGCGTTGAACTTGGAGACCATGATGACGATTGCGAAGTCCGATTGCTGTTAAGAAAGTTTGGAACAGCAGAGCACTCCAGATATGTCAACTTTCTTTTGCCTAAGCACGCTCGAGACTACACTTTTGAGGAAACTATCAAATGCTTGAGCCAAATATTTGGAGATCAGTCATCCATCTTCAACACGCGATATCAATGCTTGAAAATCACCAAGGTGGACGCTGTTAACTACGTCACTTACACTGGCATCGTCAATCGCGAGTACGAAAAATTCGACATCAAATCCATCACGGCAGATCAATTCAAATGCCTGGTTTTTATCTGTGGCCTACATTCCCCACGTGATGCAGAGATTCGCACCAGGCTGCTGAATAAACTTGAACAAGGCCACCAAATGACTCTACAACTATAAATACTGGACGCCAACGCTTGCCGAACCTCAAGCATGACTCGCTTATGCTGGAGAAGCAACAATCAACTCCAAATGTATAAAACCACAACCTCAAAGGAACCGTTTCCAAGTGAAACAGGCCATCAAAAGCCCAGAGAGATTCCCAAGCACCCGACTGCCTGTTAGAGATGTGGTGAGTGGCATTTTGTTCGAGTGTGTCCATTCCTGAAACACGTTTGCCACAAGTGTCATAAACCGGGCCATAAGGAAACGCACTGCCGATGCAGAATGTAGTTCAAGCGTGCAAGACATACGCGACAGAATTCAATTGTTCCCAAAAGATTCAGCAGCTATCGTACGGTTCAAGCGGCCTACTTTGATGAACATGTGGCTCGCAGAAAGTACAGCCGAGCTCACCTGAACGGGCAACAAGTGCGTCTTCAGCTAGATACAGCCTCGGACATCACAATTATCTCCAGCAAAACTTGGCAGTATATTGGTGCTTCATCAATCGGCCGAAAGACATATGTTGCAGTTAACGCTTCAGGAGGTCAACTTAATCTCATTGGTGAGCTGCAGTGTGAAATGTTTTTTGGCGCTGCTCGGGCAAACGGTGTCGTGTACATTACGTGCCTGTCACATTTAAATCTTCTTGGACTCGACTGAATCCTGAAGCTCCACCTGTTCGACATTCCCCTCAGTCAAGTCTGCAATACCCTCCGGCTCGGATATACGAAGCCCTCTTCGGAAGGTGATGAACCAAACAACAACCCGATCGAGCAGCTACGAAGGAAGTTTCCGTTTGTGTTTTGCAACGACTCGGGAAGATGCACAGAGACCAAAGCAAGCCTTACTCTCAAAGACGGTGCCAAACCGGTATTCCGACCCAAAAGACCGGTACCGTACGCTGCGCTGCCGATTGTTGATACAGAACTTGATCGTTTGGAGCGGGCCGGCGTCATCCCACCTGTGAACAATTCAGCATGGGCAGCACCTATTGTTGTCGTCAAGAAGACTAATGGAACCGTTCGTAATTGTGCTGACTACTCTACGGAATTGAGTACTGCGTTGTAAATGCACCAGTATCCTTTGCTAGTCCCATAAGATTTATTTGCTAAGCTCACTGGTGGCGCTTACTTTGCAAAGCTAGATTTATCAGATGCTTATCTTTAAATTGAATTCGACGATGCTTCGAAGGAGTTGCTGGCAATCAATACGCACCGAGGTCTTTACCAGTTCAACCGTTTGCCGTTTTGTGTCAAATCAGTTCCCGCGATTTTTCAACCAATTATGGATACGATGTTAGCTGGGTTATCAGGAGTCGCAGCTTAATTGGACGACATCATAATCAAAGAGGCTACCTTTCGAGAGCTGACGGAAAGACTGGAAGCAGTTCTCCACCGCGTTAACGACTAGGGTTTCCACTTGAAAGCAGAAAAGTGTAATACCGGCATGAAGCGCGTAAAGTATCTTGTCTTCATCATCGACAATGATGGCTGTCGTCCGGATCCTTCCAACATAAGTGCCATAAAACAGATGCCTCCCCTGACAATGTCGCGAAGCTCAGATCATTATTGGGGTTGATCAGTCATTGCAGCTCTTTTGTGCCCGAAATGCATCGGCTACGAGGACCGCTCAATGAACTTCTGGTAAAGGATCGCAAATTTGTGTGGCTTCCTGAATGTCAAGCTGCATTTGATAATGTCACGTCTATCTTGTGTTCTGACCTATTGCTAAGGCATTTCAATCCGGAGCTGGAGATCATAGTTGCTGCTGACGCGTCAGACTACGGAATTGGAGCAGTCATATCCCACATTTTCCCCAATGGTTCCGAGAAAGCTGTGGCATATGCAGCCAGATCACTCATCCCAGCGGAACGTAACTATGGACAGATCGAGCAAGAAGCTTTGGCTATAGTGTTTGCAGTCAAGCGATTTCACAAAATGCTCTACGGACGAAAATTCACGCTGTTCACTGACCACAAACCCTTGGTCGCAATCTTTGGATCAAAGAAAGACATTCCAGTCTGTACGGCCAGTCGTCTCCAAAGCTAGGCAACTGTTCTACTTGGTTACGATTTCGTCGTCAAATATCACTCTACACATAACATTGATCAAGCAGATGTGTTATCTCGTTTTATTGGTACACAGCATCAAGAACCAGAGGATTTGGTAGTTGCGCAAATCTCCATAGGACCCCAAGTACATCAAGTTGTGTCTGACATTTTCGGTACCTTGCCAGTAACGTCCGAAATGGTGCAGGATGCGACCCATCATGATTCTACCCTACAACAAGTGATCGATTTCCACCTCAATCGCTAGCCTAAGAGAGTTACAACGCCAGTGCTTCAACAATTCCATCAACGGAAGGAAGCACACTCAGTCATCAGAAACTGCCTGCTGTTCTCAGATCGCGTCGTCATCCCACACATCCTTCAAGAGAGAGTCCTTCGACAATTTCATACTGGCCACCCAGGAATGAATTGCATGAAATCGCTGGTACGAAGCTATGTGTATTGGCCCTATATGGATTCCCAGATCGAGAATTTAACCAAGAATTGTCCCCGATGTGCTAGTGTATTTAACCAACCAAGGAAGATAGAATTGCAATCCTGGCCAATATCAACGGAACCATGGTCAAGGGTACACGTCGACTTTGCAGGTCCAATTGACGGTCATCCATTTCTCATCGTTGTTAATGCCCACAGTAAATGGCCGGAGGTGATTCCAATGGTGAAAACCACCGCAGCAGCCACTGTCTCCGCTCTCCGACGGATTTTTTCTCGTTTCGGTGTTCCCCACACGTTGGTTTCGAACAACGGTACACAATTTCCTTCATCCGAATTTGTGTTCTTCTGTAGCAGCAACGCGATCGTCCACGTAAGGTCTCCACCTTTCCACCCACAATCGAACGGGCAAGCGGAACGATTTGTGGATACACTAAAAAGAGCTTTGCTAAAGATGAAGGGGGAAGGTACCTTGGAGGAGATTCTTGACACATTTCTTCTGACGTATCGCACAACTCCGAATCCGCAGACACCGAACGCCCTATCTCCGGCTGAAACTTTGTTTCAAAGGAAAATCCGTGTGCCGCATGATGCCCTCAGACCCAGGAAGGATCAGTTACTGTCCCGCAACTATCAGATGGAGCGTCAATTCAACATGCGACACGGTGCTCGGAAGCGAGTCTTTAATGTTGGTCAACAAGTCCTGGCGAGAGATTATCGCATCCACTATCCTAAATGGGCTATGGGCCATGTGCTATACAAACGTGGTAACGTGATCTACGGTATCCAGGTTGGGATGGCACTTTGAGCAAGACATGCTAATCAGCTGCTAGAGGCACGGACTGGCGAACAACTGCAACAACAAGTACCAGCAGCGCAGTTACCTCTGGACATACTGGCCGACGCGGGTGAAGCGAAGACTCCGCAAAATGCCCCAACACAGCAAGCATAACATTCGCCGCGAAACCTAGCAGCACAGAGGCCGAAGCGGTGACGCAAATTCGTGTCACCCATGCAAGCCAACCCCAAGCTGAAATCGTACAACACAACTCAAAGGGGAGAAGTGTTAGGAAGGAATACGCGAGTCGAGCAAGCCAGGACCCCATCGCCGCGGCCGGCGATCCAAACTCATCCGCCCTGATTGGGGCGAACAGAAAGCCAAGCAAGTGAAGCGGCCAATGAACGCTAGGTCGAAGTTCCTTTATTGGTTGTAAGTTAACCTTTCCAGAGCTTTCCACTGTCGCTTTAAATACTATTCACGAACTTTCCATTTTACCTTATAATGTACGGTGTGCTTTGCTAATTCATTCCTGTTGCTCTGCTCGTCCGATCCGGTCTTCTCTCTGTCCTGTGGGGGACCAGCGACTTCGGGTTTGATTGGGAATCAAGCGTCCATTCAGGCGAGGGACGAACACTTCACAGCTTGATAGTGTTCTACGCTGCGCTTCTCCGGAAATGATCGCCATGGCTGTGCAGGTTTCACACGCTCGCTTACATTTGGTAATGCTTCTGGTGCTTTTCTCAAGCGTGCAGGCGATGGGCAATTTGCTTGTTCCTCTTCTAGATTCACGGGCTGTCGTCGCACTTGATCCAACTGATTTTGAAGCATTCGTTCACCTTACAATCCCGCTCCCACTACATCATCTCTTGTTGATCCCGTAACTCTTGGGATCCAACTTTTACCCCTTGGCCACAGTTTAACGTACACTCTGTCACCTGCCTCGACCACACGATCCTTCGTTCTGATGTCGTAACGTCGCTTCATCAAAGAACGGCGTTTACCGATCGTTCGGTGCAGATTGAATTTAATCAGATCCAACCGAGTGCGCAGACGTCATCCCATCAGAAGTTCACACGGTGGATGATCCGTGGTAGTGTGTGGCGTACCGCGATATTGTAATAGAAATTTGTCCAGGCGGCTTTATAGAGTTCAGGACTGCTGGTTGGCCACACCCAGTTTAATTGCCGCAACCTCTGTCTCTGCCAGACCATTGGGCGAAGGGTGGTATGATGCCGACCGAAACTGCTCGATTGCACTATCCGAACTCGTTGCTGGTAAATGTCGGACCGTTATCTGAAACAACCGTGCATGGTACACCATGTACAGCGAATACATTCCTTAACA